CATTTTAAGTGAAACAAAAACATGAACTAACCATCTCAGGCGGTTCAAAAGGTTCTAGCAGGGCCATGTATATCTCTGGTGGAACCATGTGTCTATGTCAAAGAATGTAAGGTCCATATATATCAGCATTGACCAGAGATGGGGACCGTATAAATATACTCAAGTTACGACATCAATGCTTTTTAAAGACGAATGATGTTGGAGATGAATTTTGTCCCTTAACAAGGCTGACATGTAGGTGTACTCGGCCCAAAGAAAGAAGTGGTTAAGGTAAGTTATGTCCGCTTAGGAAAAATATATACGTTGGCGAGGATTGCTATAATTTAAGGAGGCCATACAAAGAAAAAAGACATACATAATAATACAAAAGCCGAAACAAGAATTTTGGTTTTTAATTAATTAAATTCTCTTGCGAAACTTTCAACTTTTTTATCTTTCTTCTCATTGTGTTTGTGTGATTACACACAGAATATAGATCATCAAATAAATTTTCTTTCTTTCGATACAAATATCGACAATGTGAATTTCAGTTTCTACAAATATAACATAGTTATCTTGATTTTCTACAAATATAACATGTAGTTATCTTGATTTGCATACTATCTTTTTTTGTGTTTCAAAACAGTCTATATTACTGTAACATGTAATTAACAAATTGTACAAAATCCTCACACATTACATGCAAATTATTTAACTAAGTAATGTGAACACATCTTTCACCCTACATATTGGTGTATGGTTAAAAAAAAAATTGTTTTACCCTTCTAATATTATCGATTTCAATTTATTCTCTTCGTAGTTTTTCAATCCAGATTTTCACAGTCTTATATTGCAGTCTGTGTTTGATATTTGAAGGCTTAAATATCAAATGTCAGAAACTTATCTAAACACATTATCCCTTTGTTATGGGTTTCCATTATCTTTTTTGTTTTTCAGAAAACTTTACCCCCAAAACTTTTTTATTTAAAAATCCTAAGCAAAAACTGTTGACATGAAATGAACATATATTTAAACCCAATTAAAAAAGTAAATTGTTTAATGTAATTTAATTATTTGTAATGCATTTGTATGGAAGGGTTACAAAATACATAGTAGCTAAAAGCAACCGTATTGGTTCAATAAATGTATAACGTGTTTTCTAACTAATCTAGTGGTATAGACCACTTTTTGTATGGAAGTTGGAATTAATTTCGTGTTAGATCATGTTATATATCAACGACCTCTTGGCCGAAACCAGCCCTAGTCAGTATAAGTATATTAGAATTTATTATTTATGGTTTTTGAAAACAATACAAAAATGAGTTGTTGAGGCCTGAGCGATGGTCAAACAGCGGGAGCAGAAACATCGGCGTCAAACGAGAAGATTCGGACTGCTAAATTTCAACTTCCAAAAGATCTTCCTATTTAATACTCTACCACTAAGATCAATAATATGTTTTCCTACAATATAAAAACAAATGTTCCATAGTTCATGTGGTCGTTAAAATAAGTAAATTAGAAAATGGAGCTTCAACGTGACGTACGGTATAAATCTTCCCTCATTGGTACCTAACGAACCTTACATCTCCTCGAAAGGCCAAATCCTTTTTTCTTTTCTCCTTTTTCCTTTGGCTCCCAACTCTTTTTTACAGTCTTCTACACTTCCAAAATGGTTCATCAAGTTTGTCGTCTTCTTGTCAGAATCTTTGACTGACTTTGTTCTTGTATATTTAAATTACACTTCCTCTCGTCAAAACCAAGTTTAACCCAACTTTTCTTTTTTTAACTCCTTATGTTGAACTTTTAGATAATAAGTTTTTTTTTTCATTTTTCAAATAACTGTACCATAGTCAACGTTTTCAAATCTATCTCGTAGAAACACCAAAATCAAATTAGGTTAAGTGAATAATGTGTTATAGTAGTAACCATTATCACTTTGTATGCTTAAACTAGATTATATCTCTATCATTGATAACATTTCTAATGTTGTTTCTGTTAATTAAAACTAGGTAATTTGCCCATACATATGAACATAACTTTCTTACAAATATTTATTATTTTATTTGTATTAATTTAAAAAGGGACAACATCTTCAATACCCATCCTCCCCATCACTCAATCTCCTATACCCACGAAAATCTCTTATACCCATATTTCATAATTCCTTTTTTGATCAAAACCTAAACTCCTAAATTAAATCCTCCCCGATGTTCAAAACTAAACAAACCCCCCCCCCCCCCAATGGATGGGTGAACCCATGGGCAAATTTTTAAATTCTATAGATTTCAAATTCGAAAAAAAATATTTTAAAATTGTTTTTAATCATATTTTGATGATTTTCGTGAAAATACGAAAAAACGTTTTTTAATTTTTGAAATAATTTTATCAAATTCTATAAATCAAATAAAAAATATTCACGTTTCAAGTTTAATTTTAAGTTTTTTCGTTGAACATATAAAATTAAAAGAAAAAAAGCGTCTAAGATAGATTGAGTGATGAGGAGGATGAGTATAAAAGATGATCCCCCATTTAAAAACAACATAATAAATTTTGATTATTGTTTTTAAATAAATAATAAACGAAAAAATCACATAACATAATATTTTAGTATGAGGAAACAATTTTCTTACAAATATTTTTTATTTTATTTTTATTAACTAAGAAAGAACATAATAAATTTTGATTTATGTTTTTAAATTAATTATAAATGACAAAACTAAAATAACATAATATTTTAGAATATATGTTTCTACAAAAGTTTTGCTTGGTTTATATTTAATTATAATTTTTTATATCTATTTGTTTCTATAACAGAAAAATATATTTCAAGATAAAAATATAATACATAAGAAGTATCTTATCTTCCAAAAATATAATATTAATAATAGCAATTTTTTTAATATATAAAAATTACATGTAAAATTATTTAAAATATGACAAATAAACAAAATTATATAAATCATGGAAAAGTTACAAATAAGCAAAATTATATAACAGAAAAATATATTTTCAAAATAAGAATCTAATACATAAGATTTATCCTAAAAATTAATATTATTAATATAAATTCTTTTTATTATATAATAAATTATATACGAAACTATTAAAACATGACAAATAATCAAAATTATTTAAAATAATAGAAAACTTGACAAATCAGCACTCGTTGATTTATATTTAGTTATAGTTTTTTATATCTTAGTATTTAATTTCTATAGTAAAAATATATTTTCAAGATAACAATATAATACATAAGAGTTATCTTGTTTTCTAAACATATAATATTACTAATATAAATTCATATTGTTAATAAATTATTTTGAAATTATTGAAAGCATGAAAAATAAGTACAATTTCCTGAATCACAGAGAAATTACAAGTCAATCAGCAAATTTACTTAAGTTTGTAATAGAAAAATATATTTTCAAGATAATAATCTAATACAAGAGAATTAACTTATTTTCTAAACTATACTATTATTAATATAAATTCGTTTTATTATATAATAAATTACATATAAATCTATTAAAATATGACAAATAAGCAAAATTATTTTAATCATATAGAAGTTACAAATCATCAAATTCATTTAAATTTTATAATAGAAAATATATTTTCAAGATAACAAAACTATTAAAATATGATAAATAAGCAAAATTATCAAAAAATAATTGAAATTTGACAAATCAGAATTGATTAATTTAATTTTAATTATAATTTATTTAAATTCTATAATAGAAAAAATATATTTAACATAACAATCTAGTACAAAAGTATTAACTTTTTTTTAAACTATAATTTTACTACTAATACAAAACCGGTTTTATTATATAATAAGTTATATATGAAATTATTAAAAGATGACAAATATTCAAATTACCCAAAATCAAGCAAAATTATCTAAAATTATAGAAAAAATTACAACTAAGCAAATTCACTTCTCAAATAATGTTATAGATATCTTGTGAGCAGATTATCCAATTATTTAATTTTGGTCAAGTTGTTTATATTGACATGACATAATGTTTGCATATTATTAAAATTCGAAGTATTGTTATCCTAATCGTAATGTTGAAAACGTAACATGAATTTAGTTGTTAGCTAAAAATTGGTGGGAAACCATTACATACTAATAATATGCATGAGGAAAGAAGCCTAGTAGTTAAGTTCAAAAAAAAAAAGCCTAATAGTTTATAATGTTAGTTGTTAGCTAAAAATTGGTGGGAAACCATTATATACTAATATGCATGAGGAAAGAAGCCTAATAGTTTATAATGTTAGTTGAAACAGTAAACAACGTGAAGGGTGAGGAGAGAGTACTTAAAAAATTCTCATGGTGGTTGAGACTTGAGAAAGAAGTAGAACAGTAAAATCGTAAGAACGAAGAAAGCAAACAGTAAGTAAAAATCATAAAACTAACCTGCAACAAGCCACAAAAACAGATCCTACAAAGCAATTTAGTATTGGTCACGTGGAGCCCATGTCGATACCACGAGAGGCCCCTCCTGTTTTTTGGACATGAGTAGGGAAAATGATTTTATTAAAAATTTTATCCAGTTTTTTTTAAAAACCGTCACCGAACTCACGAGTCACGACTCACACCAGCTGTGTCCGAGAGCGACCGCACCAGGCAACCATCTCACGGTAACGAGGTCCCCACCATCGGACTTATCCACGTCAGACGCGAGTCCACTAATCGCCTCGTCAAGTTTGAAGCTAGTTGCCACATGTCTAGCGCCGTAGGTATCCACAGTGTGGGCCCTATATGATCGGCTGTTTTTTAGAATAACCTCACTAGTTAATTAATTAATCGCGTTGCACAAGCACCGCGGGAGTAAACTCTTCAATCACGGCGTTACTCCACGCGCTTTATTCATTGGATACGCGAGGAACACGGACACGTAACCTAAATTTTCAAACAAAAAAAAATTGGCGAGTCAACAAACGTCGGGAGAGAGTTTTTTAATACGGAAAAAGTTCTGCTTCTTTTTTTAAACTTCCGAAAGTTTTAATTAATTAATTTAATTATTTATATTTGGGGGATGGTTTTTTTGAGAAAATATTTGGGGGATAGTTTCTGCGATTTTCTCGGCAGCTTATTTAAAGACATTCATAGTTCGTCTCTTTGGCAAATATTTTCTTTGTCTTTCCCATATATTTTCTGTGTCCCTTATTTGATTGCCGAGAAACCGCGAGAAATAAAGGATTCAAGAAGGATCTCTCTGAGAACCGTTAATTTTTCTTACATCGTTGCTTTCAGTTTCGAAGCTGTATCTGCATTTTCCTGCACAATTTGCTAAGCTCAAAGGTTCGTTTTCTCTTCGTATTTCATTTTTTCTTTAGAAAATTAGACATTCAACAGTTTTATCATCATGCGTCTTTCTTATATGTGTTATTCGTTATGGGCTTGGATACATTTTTATGAAGTTAGATATGGTTGTTGTGTGGTTAAATGCCTGAACCGGATTTTTTTTTGGAATTGGTACTTTGTTCCTTCTGTGGGTGGATTTTGTGTTGGAGAGTGACTATGATCGGTCAAGTTTTACGCGCAACACATTTGAACTAGTGGTGGTGGGTCTTAACATGTTTTTCTCAATTGTCAATATCCTGCAAGTGTGTTATGAAACTTGGTTAAAATTTTAATGTTTTCTTCTAGACAATACAAATTCTCATGTATTAGTGGTGGCTATAACGGTATTCAATTTTTTTTTATATGTATTTGTATCTGTTCTCTTTCAGTTTGTCTTTTATTTGTGAAATGTAGACTATGTAGTTTTACAAGAGTAGTTACTCTCCAAGCGTGTATGTATTTTGCAGAAACCAAAATTTGTTCCTTCTTTGGTCGCAGCATCATAGAAGAAGTTTTATTACAGTTCTCACTGGTTTCAATTACGCTGCGAAAATTATATTACAAAGTCAAGTCAAATCATTAGTATGTTTCCTTGAGTACTAGTATTTCATAACAACTGTCAGGAAAAATACAACAAAAAAAAAACAGAATATGCTGAACAACTCTTTGGTTGTTTCTCATTCTGATAATAACTTGAGACCTATTTGGTACAATTTGATATTCAATGTTCTCTTGTCAGAATATTTCATCACTTATCAATTCTCTATTTCACAACTTGAGTAGCTTTTTGGTCTTAACTGGTTCTGTTTTTTTTTCTTTTTATTTGTATCTACATTTCAGGGTCCTTGAGGACGAGGATTCTTGACTGAATTAAAGAATTGTGTAGAAAGAAAAGAAAGAGACTGAAAATCTCAACTTTAGTTTTGTTAACAACTGGTCTTGTTATGGACGTAAACTCTGGTCACTCGTCTCCTGTAATGACTGATTCTCCACAGATAAGCAATTCGAGATTAACGGTTCGTCAGAATAGACTACCTCCTTACTCATCATCAACAGCAGCCTCACAGAACAACAATCTCTTGCTAACCGTTCCCAGAAAGAAAACTGGGATTATTGATGATGTTAAGGCTAATGCTTGGCTTGATGCAATGATAGCATCTTCTCCAACCCCAGCAATAGTTAACAAAGACAACATAAGCAGTGATGCAACTACGGATATGACTTATCACGAATGGACGGTCTGTCCCTTATTATATCCTCTCTTTTTTTTTTTTCTTTTTTACTGAACATTTTTTACACCGTTGTTTTGATCTTGATTATCTCATAATTATATGTCTTATAATTCTGTTTTAGCAGTTAAAGTATCCATCAGCTCTTAACACTTTTGAGAAAATCATGAGTGTTGCAAAAGGCAAAAGAATAGCTTTGTTTCTTGATTATGACGGGACGCTTTCTCCTATAGTTGAGGAACCTGATGCCGCCTACATGTCAAGTGATGTAAGTTTTTTTTCTTTAATCTTCTCGTTATTTCAGTACAAATATGTGCTTCTTCCTCTTAATGAACTATCTGATTATAAATGAATAGATGCGTACTGCAGTGCAAAACGTTGCCAAGTACTTCCCAACCGCGATCATTAGTGGAAGAAGCCGTGCTAAGGTTAATGTTTTACCCATTTCATCTTTCATTGTGTAGATAATATCATTTTTTGCTTGTTTCATTGTGTGATCTAATCATTTTTTTTGTCTTCAGGTGTATGAGTTTGTTGGACTGAGTGAACTTTATTACGCCGGAAGCCATGGAATGGACATCATGAGTCCTGCAGGAGAGTCTTTAAACCACAAACATCTCAGCCGTACTGTATCAATGAACGAACAGGTTTTCATTTTCTTGCCTTTTTGTTTTCTGCAATATACAATCAGATTCTTGATATGTGACTTTGGAAAATTCCAGGGGAAAGATGTTAATTTATTCCAGACTGCTAGCGAGTTTCTACCAATGATCGATAAGGTATTCACAAATACATCTTCGAATGTATAGCTTAGTTATTATTATATACATCAAATTTGATTCTTGAATTTTATTCTCTCAGGTGCTTTGTTCGCTTGTGGAGAGTACAAAGGATATCAAAGGAGTCAAAGTAGAAGACAACAGGTTCTGCATCTCTGTGCATTACCGCAATGTAGAAGAAAAGGTTTGGTTTCTCTTAATTTAATAACCGGTTTGGTTCCTTTAAACCAGAACACGTTTCTTAACAGCTCGTTCTTTTTACAGAACTGGACACTGGTTGCACAATGCGTTGATGATATCATCAGAACATACCCAAAGCTAAGGCTAACACATGGTCGGAAGGTAAAACATCTGAATCTCTTACATTTATTTCAACAAAGAATTAGTTCGAACTAAAGTTGAAAGTTTGACTTTTTGTTTCTTGTCTTGTTTATCTTAAAAAAGGTTTTAGAGATCCGTCCGGTTATTGACTGGGACAAAGGGAAAGCTGTGACATTTCTACTTGAATCTCTCGGTATGCATTTCTCCTCTCTGCTATTGTTGTGAATCTTAGTTTAGCCACTGAAACTGAAACTTCTTTCAGGCCTAAACAACTGTGACGATGTTCTTCCTATCTATGTCGGGGATGATCGAACAGATGAAGATGCATTTAAGGTTTGTTATTTGCTATTAGCTCAATTCTAAACTTTTGTATTTCGAAATAGCTTTGACTTAATGCGCAAGTAATGTTAGGTCTTACGAGATGGACCAAACCACGGTTATGGTGTATTAGTCTCTGCTGTGCCTAAAGTCAGCAATGCCTTTTACTCACTTCGTGATCCATCTGAGGTAAACTTGTAAACCGCTTTAACATGAATATTTATCTATAATGAGTTTGATTATGTTTCATTGAGCTACCGTTTTAATCATATGAGTCTGGTTTTGCTATTGTAATTATATCTATCAGGTGATGGAGTTTATGAAAGCATTAGTGACATGGAAGCGATCATTGGACTAGTAAAAGAAAATGACTGACGTTAATATATATTTTATATATGTGGCAGTTAGAAGATTATTGTTATACAGAGACAATGGAGAAAGAGATGATGCAAAATTAAAGCATTTAGTTTTGTTTCTTTGGTTTTTGTTTTTTTTTGTTTTTTTGTTAAAGTTGTCTAAATACAGTTGAGATCATAATTTAACCGGTGGGAGGAAGAGAACATCAATACTATTAAAACAAAAACTCTTTACCATGTACCAAATGACATTCTTCCTTTTCTAAATTAATTCGAAAATCTCGGCATATATTAAAGGCCCATCGAGTCTCACGTATGAAGACAGAAAAAGAACATCTAATATTCTATTTTGATTTTTTTTTCTTTTCTGTTTTTTTTTCAATATATAAACAGTCTTTAAAACCAAGTTCTCGATTTTGGTGGGCCAAATTTACGAAAAACATCAGATCAATCACCGAGTCCAATACACTAAATTATCTTTTTTCATATTAAACGATTAGTACATGGAGTTTAAATCCGATTTAAAGTTTGCAAAAAATAAAAAATAAAAATTATTTTCTCAAAATTAACATGTTTAAGATATTGGTCATCCAAAACAATAAACATATAATGTTTTCTTTTGCAACTCTCTATTAAATAATGTTACAAAACACATAATAAAAAATTGAAGTACAAATTTCAAGTTATAAAATAAAATATTTTAAAACATACAATTCACATATTTAAATTATTATTTTAACCAGTTTAAAGAATTGACACATGTCTGTCTTTTAACAAATGAAAATATAAATAAACTGAATACGAATTTTCCAGACTTCTACTATTAGAAATTATCATGTATTTACAACATTCTTTGGGCTATTTTAAAATAAACACGTAATTAATATTAAAAAAAGTAAATATTAAGTTAATAATCATATAATGTATAGACTATGATATAAATATATTGTAAGAGGCAGAGGAGCATGATTCAAAGTGATGTCAGTCCACTAAAACCAGTATATAGTAATTGAGCAGCACATTTTGATTTTGAAATAGATAATTTATATCGTGAATACTTTATAATAATGAAAAATTTATGTCATTAAATATTCCTATCATATTTAAACTATAACAAAATGTTAAATTCCACTCTTTGAAAACTCAGAACAAATCTAATGAAGGCTTAAAACATACCAGAGATCCTTTTTTCGATCGTTTTACACTGTAAAAAAAGTTAGTTCATCTTGAACAAATGTGTTCCATGTGTTATTGGTCTTGTATTAATTCAAATTTCAAATCATCACATTTTTTTTAGTTTAATTTTATGTCAAACACAGACTTTGTTTATACATGTCACATATACAAAATAACATTTCATATGGTAGCAACATCATAATCGGCTTAATTGATTTTAAATTTATTTAATGCGGCCATTTTATAATTTAATAAATCTAAACCCAAATTAACAAAACCCGAATCCTGAAATTGAATTTTTCTCAGTCTCTCTATTATGAAGATATCAAATCTCTTTTTGTCTCTCATATCTTTTTCAATCTCTGTCTTTCGAAATCCCCAATTTTCTTTTTGAACCCTAATGAAATTGGTTTTAGAAAATAATAGAAACTTATGTATGTCGGGTTTTGTTGATATGGATTTAGATTTATTAAATTATAGAATGATCCCATTGACTAAACTTAAAATTAATTCAACTCGATTATGATATTGTCATCATATTAAATATTTTTAATTAAAATATTTCCATTATAACCCTAAAAGAATGGGAAAATTATGCATAGTTGATTACATAGCAATTTGAATAAAATTTGGTACGACCATGAACGCTGGTGTTGAGTCTGAAAGCCTACACAGACGAGTCTCGAGCAAAACTCTGGAGGCAATAAAGCCTGCACAGGCGAGTCTCGAACAAAAATCTGGAGGCAGACTTCCTTTCTACCTCACAGTTCTTGTTAATCCAAGTAGGAGCTCATAGCATCCAATTCTCCATGATAAAGTAATCACCAATGTACATTGAAACTCGAATGGAAAGATTGAAGGAGAACGAGACCAAACCTGTACAAAGCGGGTTGAGATGTATCTGCAGCTCCAAACAAAACACTCCGAAGACACCATGTAAGCTGGACTAATGCATCCACTAGAATGCCGAAACGCCCAGGCGTTTAGTTCTCATACTGGGAAGATGGATTCACACTCATGGAAGCACGAGGCTCTACCTAAAGAGAATGACCACACATAAAAGGTGTGAGCTCGTCATGGTCAGTCTTTGTAAACCGGAGGCACTGACCAGCTTGTAACAGAACAGAAAACAGAGACGATGAAGAGCCGCCATTGAAAAGGGTATCGGAGAAACACAAGATGGATCTTCGCGATGGATCCACACACGAGCGCTGAGTTGGAGTGCTGTGACTGGAGGAGGGTAAGAAGGAAGCCTCACGAACAGATCTAGAATCCAAGCCATAGACGACTCTTCGTCGAAAATCCCGACCATGAAACACGCGTCACATCGAGGGAGTACGACGACGACCATAGAACCCTACAGACACACGCCTACCTTCTGAACATTGGACAGAGAGAGACGCGCTTCGATGAAACACCACATGAAGGGATACACACGCATCGCATTTCCACTCTACCAGGACAAAAAAACAACTGTGTTAACAAGTAGATGGACGGATCCAATGCAGAGGAACTTGGCAGTCCCAGTGACATGCCTCGAATCTATGGGAGTCGCCAGAGATCTAAAAGGGAAACTTGAACTTCCTAATAGTTTTTTCTCTCATTTTTTTTTCTCTTCCTAAATTTTCTCCAGTTTGTGCCCTCTTTACCTTCGGTGGAATCTTCTTTCTGTCTACTGCCGGAGGGCTCCTCCTTTTCTTGTCTCTTGATTTTCTTTTTGTCTCTTCTCTACTCTTCTTTTCCAATATGTGTTTGTCCTTGTAAGTTTAGTTTCGCCGTTGGAAGATTCTAGATTAAAGCCGGTGGTCTTCTTAAATCTCTAATGAAGCTGTGAGGAAGATGTAGCGGTGGTAGTAGGTTGGGGTCGGCGTGTTTTTGTGTTGAGATTCGCTGGTAGATCACAATATAAATGTTATTTCGTATATGTGGAATCCCTTATATATTAATCTTGGAGCATTACTACATATTTTGGTAGCCACATGTCATCATTACGTTGATTTTTAGAATCTTTAGAAAAATAAGTTGATACATCTCAATATATAGTATACTTTTTTTGTTAAACTAACTATACAATTATTGGTAGTGTATGCAAGAATATTTTCCATTATTTCCTTAAATAAAAGTTACGGAATTGTCTCATATGGTTAACAAATATATGACAATTAATTATTTTGAATAATAAAGATTTGATAACTATTTTCTATCTTCCATCATTTTTTTAATTTTATATTCTAAAAAGAAATTAAACAATCACATTAATAATATAATAAAAATTTTGGATTTTTTTTATATGCTATATTCTGAATTTTTTTAAACGATTATAAATTACTAAAATTGTTAAAAGTCAACACTTAAATTTTTGTGATCAATGATTTAACTTTTTGTTATAACAAAATAAAGATGATCATAAAATCATATAAATATGAAATCTATTTACTGTATATTCAGAGTATATATATGTATATATATAATACATAAACATGTTAATTTCAAAATTTTTTTTGATTAGGAAGCATCAGTTAATAATGTTCATATAAATAAAAATAATATTTGTTACAGTAAATATAAATTTTTTAGTTAATTCATATGAGTACGAACTTCAATTAATAAATATTCATATTAAAATATATTATATAATTTTGTTAATATCATTTAAGTTTAATTCTATACCATATAAAATATGTAATTAATTATTTTGTTGTTTTACCAACAAAAAAATAGTGTAAATGCAAAGAGGGATGGTTTTATTTATATTTTTACTCCAGTTTAACTATATACATAATAGTTACTCATTTCTCAATTATTCAATATATACTTTTACTGCATAACACGTAAATGAACATAAAATAAATAATAATATGTATAAATAATTTCTACACATAATTAATGTTCATTCCGCGTAAGCGCGACTCTCAAAAGTTACTTATTATTTCAAAAATATAATTTTTCATATCAAAGTGAGATGGTGAATTTTAAAATCTATATGATTTTATTGTAGCCCAATACAAATATGTTTAAGAAAAAATTAAAAATATCAACAAACTTTACTCTACTCATCAACTTTTTATTGACGGTCAAAATTATGATATGATGGTTGAACGTTCAAAATTAGTATTTAATGATTATTAAAATATAAATTTCACCCCACGCATATACACGGGTTATAGCCTAGTGTGTTAATATAAATATGGGATAGTTAATTACATATTCCAATAATTTAAATGATTACTAGCATATTAGAATAAATATTTCGTGTAGCTAACAATTTTTTTCCAATTTTTACATGAAATTATCTTCAAGTTCACTCAAAATCTTTCAAATCCAACGAGTGATAAGAACCTATCAACTTTGAGTAACACAAAATTTTAAATATTATATTCACATATTTAATTGAATAATAATACCAAATTTAAAATTCTTTTGTTGAGAAGATTGTAAATATAAAAATTAATTAACACTAGATTTCAAAATATTTGAATAAAGATATTTTAAATACAATAACCATAACACTAAATCTATTACTATTAAAATCCGCAAATCAAAGCATATGGGGGTGTCCACGTCCTCAATTATATTCAACCAATGAGATTATAACATTTGGCCACGTCAGCGTGTTCCTGATTGTGTGGGCTTTAACTGTCACAGCCCATTTTGTTGAGTTTTCTTAAGGTTTTCGAAACCCAATTCGGTGCAGCGGTGGTCGACTTCTTCTTCCACGCGAAATCCTTTTGAGCATTCCTACAAACCCTAATTTTATTACGATGAATCGTGTACCCTTTGATCTTCCTCTTCTTTGATTTTGTTTCTCTAATATCATCAATACATCCTCCACTTCTCTTCTCTAATTGGATATTTTGTTTGAGTGCGTTTATGTTTAGCCTCAACTTCCCGTCTTCGCCTCCCTATCTCACAAATAAAAAAGCACACAAAAATCATATCATATAAGCTCATCTCTTCTGTCTTCTGTCTTCGTATAAGCTTTCTTCGCCGATTGCATTGTGTCTGGCTTCTTCTCCAATTCTTGGTCGATTAACGGTGGTGATATTGACAACTTTCTTGCGAGGACGGAAACTTTCTTGCGAGGACGGAAACTGTTGAGACACTCTCAAGTTCTGTGACGTCTGAGTCTGGAAATTTCAAGAAAAGGAAGTTTGATAACTTCTTTACAAAGACTAAGGTTTGTAATGTAGCTCTGTTAAACAAAAAAACTAAACGTTGAATTCTACAAGTGAAAAAACAGATCTTACTTTGAGATTCACTTATCTGTCTTTGGGGTTTAGATTTGTAATGAGAAGAAGACGATGATGATCAACATAGGAGTATTAGTACAAGAAGAAGAAGAAGAGAAGTCAATAGTAAAAGAGCAAAACAAAGAGAGCAATAAAAGCATCATGAATATGAAGAATAAAGCCAAAGAAGAAGAAAACAATTGTTCTAACGATTCATCAAAAGTGGCCAAGGAGTTGCAGAGAAAAGATTATATTCATGTTCGTGCTTGGAGAGGCCAAGCCACTGATAGCCACAACATTGCAGAACGAGTGAGAGAAACTCTTTAATTAACTTCAGTTATATTTTTATAACTTTGAGACTAATTGTTTGATTGTTATTATAATGTGAAGGCTAGAAGAGAAAAGATCAGTGAGAGAATGAAGTATCTTCAAAGCATATGGGGGTGTCCACGTCCTCAATTATATTCAACCAATGAGATTATAACATTTGGCCACATCAGCGTGTTCCTGATTGTGTGGGCTTTAACTGTCACATCCCATTTTGTTGAGTTTTCTTAAGGTTTTCGAAATCCAATTCGGTGCAGCGGTGGTTGACTTCTTCTTCCACGCAAAATCCTTTTGAGCATTCCTACAAACCCTAATTTTATCACGATGAATCGTGTACCCTTTGATCTTCCTCTTCTTTGATTTTGTTTCTCTAATATCATCAATACATCCTCCACTTCTCTTCTCTAATTGGATATTTTGTTTGAGTGCGTTTATGTTTAGCCTCAACTTCCCGTCTTCGCCTCCCTCTCTCACAAATAAAANATCCTTTTGAGCATTCCTACAAACCCTAATTTTATCACGATGAATCGTGTACCCTTTGATCTTCCTCTTCTTTGATTTTGTTTCTCTAATATCATCAATACATCCTCCACTTCTCTTCTCTAATTGGATATTTTGTTTGAGTGCGTTTATGTTTAGCCTCAACTTCCCGTCTTCGCCTCCCTCTCTCACAAATAAAAAAAGCACACAAAAATCATATCATATAAGCTCATCTCTTCTGTCTTCGTATAAGCTTTCTTCGCCGATTGCATTGTGTCTGGCTTCTTCTCCAATTCTCGGTCGATTAACGGTGGCGATATTGACAACTTTCTTGCGAGGACAGAAACTGTTGAGACACTCTCAAGTTCTGTGACGTCTGAGTCTGGAAATTTCAAGAAAAGGAAGTTTGATAGCTTCTTTACAGAGACTAAGGTTCGTAATGTATCTCTGTTAAACAAAAAAACTAAACGTTGAATTCTACAAGTGAAAAAAACAGATCTTACTTTGAGATTCACTTATCTGTCTTTGGGGTTTAGATTTGTAATGAGAAGAAGACGATGATGATCAACTTAGGAGTATTAGTACAAGAAGAAGAAGAAGAGAAGTCAATAGTAAAAGAGCAAAACAAAGAGAGCAATAAAAGCATCATGAATATGAAGAATAAAGCCGAAGAAGAAGAAAACAATTGTTCTAACGATTCATCAGAAGTGGCCAAGGAGTTGCAGAGAAAAGATTATATTCATGTTCGTGCTTGGAGAGGCCAAGCCACTGATAGCCACAGCATTGCAGAACGAGTGAGAGAAACTCTTTAATTAACTTCAGTTATATTTTTATAACTTTGGGACTAATTTTTTGATTGTTATTATAATGTGAAGGCTAGAAGAGAAAAGATCAGTGAGAGAATGAAGTATCTTCAAAGCATATGGGGGTGTCCACGTCCTCAATTATATTCAACCAATGAAATTATAACATTTGGCCACGTCAGCGTGTTCCTGATTGTGTGGGCTTTAACTGTCACATCCCATTTTGTTGAGTTTTCTTAGGGTTTCGAAACCCAATTCGGTGCAGCGGTGGTCGACTTCTTCTTCCACGCGAAATCCTTTTGAGCATTCCTACAAACCCTAATTTTATCACGATGAATCGTGTACCCTTTGATCTTCCTCTTCTTTGATTTTGTTTCTCTAATATCATCAATACATCCTCCACTTCTCTTCTCTAATTGGATATTTTGTTTGAGTGCGTTTATGTTTAGCCTCAACTTCCCGTCTTCGCCTCCCTCTCTCACAAATAAAANATCCTTTTGAGCATTCCTACAAACCCTAATTTTATCACGATGAATCGTGTACCCTTTGATCTTCCTCTTCTTTGATTTTGTTTCTCTAATATCATCAATACATCCTCCACTTCTCTTCTCTAATTGGATATTTTGTTTGAGTGCGTTTATGTTTAGCCTCAACTTCCCGTCTTCGCCTCCCTCTCTCACAAATAAAAAAGCACACAAAAATCATATCATATAAGCTCATCTCTTCTGTCTTCTGTCTTCGTATAAGCTTTCTTCGCCGATTGCATTGTGTCTGGCTTCTTCTCCAATTCTTGGTCGATTAACGGTGGCGATATTGACAACTTTCTTGCGAGGACGGAAACTGTTGAGACACTCTCAAGTTCTGTGACGTCCGAGTCTGGAAATTTCAAGAAAAGGAAGTTTGATAGCTTCTTTACAAAGACTAAGGTTCGTAATGTAGCTCTGTTAAACAAAAAAACTAAACGTTGAATTCTACAAGTGAGAAAAACAGATCTTACTTTGAGATTCACTTATCTGTCTTTGCGGTTTAGATTTGTAATGAGAAGAAGACGATGATGATCAACATAGGAGTATTAGTACAAGAAGAAGAAGAAGAGAAGTCAATAGTAAAAGAGCAAAACAAAGAGAGCAATAAAAGCATCATGAATATGAAGAATAAAGCCAAAGAAGAAGAAAACAATTGTTCTAACGATTCATCAAAAGTGGCCAAGGAGTTGCAGAGAAAAGATTATATTCATGTTCGTGCTTGGAGAGGCCAAGCCACTGATAGCCACAGCATTGCAGTACGAGTGAGAGAAACTCTTTAATTAACTTCAGTTATATTTTTATAACTTTGAGACTAATTGTTTAATTGTTATTATAATGTGAAGGCTAGAAGAGAAAAGATCAGTGAGAGAATGAAGTATCTTCAAGCTTTAGTTCTTGGATGCGACAAGATCACAAGAAAAGCAGGGGCGCTTGATGAGATCATTAACTATGTTCTGTCTCTTCAGAGACAAGTCGAGGTCTGAAAATTTACAAGTTTGAAACACATCTTTTATTTTTTTAAGAATATGAGTTTCTTTAGTTTGTATTCTAATATCTGATATTGTCTGAAACAGTTCTTATCGATGAAACTAGCAGCTATGAGTCCAAGGTTGGTCTAGATAACGATGACATTTTTGCAAAAGAGGTTCTCTCAGCTCCAATGGCGAACTTACCAAGCAATGTGATGCAATCTCATGAGATGGTTAACTCCGTTTATCCTCATCAAATGGTTAATTCCGGTTATCTTCATATCAATCTAATGCAGCAAGTGGTTACCAGTTCTAATCCACCACTGCCATGTTTCAACGTAGGTTATGTTTTTATTTTCTCTTCCATTGTGAGCAATCTTGGTACTTCTGATTTGCTTAATTTGTTTGGTAATTATATGTTTGATCATGTTACAGAACGGTCAAGCTCCTTCGATGTGGGAACCTGATGTGCAGAATCTGTATAGCAGTCTAGGAGTTTGATTAAGAGCAATCTACAACTCATTTTCTAAAGTGGGAGGATCAAACTCGTATCATTTCCATCAGTAGAGAGACCAATTAGAGTTGCTATCTACTAATGTCCCTAAACTGATTCAAGATTTTCTACCCATTATGTAGTATCAGAGAAAGTATATATAGTATTGTGCGTATTAGATGTCGAGCAGCGCATAATGTGATGAAACAATCATTTAAGCCTTAAAATTTAAATTGACTAATATGTATACATTATTCAGTTTCCAATCTATATACTATGCTGATGTTCTACGAGCGGTGCGGCATGAGCCAGTGATAATGTTTCAGAGTTTGAAGCTGAGAAGTTTGATGCATACCAAAGGTGATTGTGTCGTGTCCTAGCTTTAATTTCATCATTATTTTTGGAAGCGTTGCTATTGATTTCAGAATAAACCTTCTCAAACTGGGACATAAGGTATGCATTTGCGTCTGGCAGTACCGTTTAGTTTCATTTGTCCTCTTGAGCCGTACTTTGTTGGTTTTGTATTATCAAAAAAAAGGTTAGCTTTACAGGATAATGGTCGAGAAAAGACGCCATTGAAGCCTCTTATACAGCTTTGTGTTTCATATCGTTTACAGCTTTGAGAAAGAGGTTTTCTTTTATTCTATATTACCTGGTCCATTACGTTTCAAATCTCAAATGCTGCATCTTTTATGCCGTTTACGATCTTTTACATATATATGCTAAGTAAACATCTTTTACGATTCCTTATAGTAATGATTTTTTTTTCTGTAACGAATGGACAAGGAACGAAGATGATACACTAAATGTTCTTATGATTTGATTATGATGTTGTTTTTGTTGGAAAATGATAGATTGTTGGTGTTCCTGGAGTTACACAAGCTTTGTTTGAAGCTAGACAAGCTGTGATTGCTCAGGAAAAGACCAAATTGAATCAAACACCTCTGCTATACACTTGTGGCATCTGTAACAAATCTTACAGAAGCTCCAAAGCTCATGAGCAGCATCTCAAGTCAAAGAGCCACGTCCTGAAGGTTTCAAGCAACGAAGGAGAGGAGGATAAAGCGATCATTAAGCAGCTTCCTCCTCCTCGCCGTGTTGAGAAGAAACAACTCAAGGGTTTGATTGAGGAAGAGAGTATGGATGAATGGATTGAGGTTGATTCTGATGAAGATTTGGCGGAGGCTGAAGAAGATATGGATGAGGATGATGACGAGGAGGATGAAGTTGATGATATGGATGCGGATTTGAGTTGGATTCGAGTTGTTGTTTGATGTGTAATAAGAAGCATAAGACGATAGACAAGTGTATGGTTCATATGCATAAGTTCCATGGCTTCTTCATTCCTGATATTGAGTACTTGAAAGATCCTAAAGGGTTTCTAACCTACGTTGGTTTAAAGGTATGTAGTTTTGTCTCATCACGTTTATGTTCAGACAGTTAAAGATCTTTGTCTCTCTTACAGGTCAAGAGAGACTTGATTTGTCTCCACTGCAATGAACTGTGCCATCCGTTTAGCAGTTAGGAAGCTGTTAGAAAGCATATATGGAAGCGAAAAGTCACTGCAAAGTGCATTACGGTGATGGTGGTGATGAAGAAGATGCAGAGCTAGAAGAGTTCTACAGCAGCAAGTATCTTTCCTCTTCCTCTGTTTTAGTATCTTTTTATCATAGAAACTATTGTTTATATTGAATGTTTTGTTTGTATAGCTATGCTAATGAAGGCGAAAACCAGATGGTTTTGGCTGGTGAATCAGCTAATACCGTAGAGCTTTTTGGTGGGTCTGAGCTTGTGATCACCAAGAGAGGGGAGAACAAAGTAACGCTAGAATTCTCGGGTCTCGAGAGTTCATGCGTTACTACAAGCAAAAGCCACCACCATCTTCTCAGAGACACTTCGTCAACTCTCTAGGGATAAGGTTTGTTTTTTTATCCAGTCAGTGTCTCAATGTGTTGAAAAGAAAAAAGAAAAAGAGTTTGTTTATTGGTTAGGTGACTTCTGTGTGTAAAACTATATTTGGAATAAAGATTTTATTTATGTGACGATGATGTATATTGTCTCACCAATCTGTCTATTTTGTGTAATTAATTCTTTTTTAAAAATGGGAGTTTTGTAAAAATTGTTTACTTATATGGAACCAATTGTTAAATCCGTGGCAAAAAAAGTTCATGAATATTTTTCTTTGAGAAATATATAAAACTGAAAAAGGAAATGATAAACATAAACAATTGAATGTATAATAATGGTTTAGTAATCATAAGATTTATACATGAACTTTTCAATGAAACATAAAAATTACAAACGATAGTATTGCGATTTTAAAGAAATTGAAAAAGTGAGTGGAAGAAAACCTTTTGCAGCAAGCTACAGCCTTTCTGAGTAATTAATCCAATCCTTAGACTATATATATTTTTTTTAATCAACCTCAGAAATTTTTCTTTCCTTTTTTGTTCTTCAAAAAATAATAATTTGAGCTCTCCAAATCTGTTAAAAACACAAATCTGTTAAAAACACTTAGCAGTTGTAAAGATGAGTCTTCTTATTCACGTTTACTATCGTGACAACACAGTTATATATATTAAGATACAGAACATGACCGATCTATATATATGGCCAAATATTTACTTAAGGCTACAAACGTCCAAGTTGAATAGAAAAACACTTAACTCAAAATTTATATTTATAAAAAATCGCAAACTAACTTTAATTTATAAACAAGCTTCTGATAACAAATTCATGCTAAAGCACATGATGCATCATGATTGGTTATTCATTGTCTCTTCTAAATTTTAAGATCTGAGATTAATATGTAGTGTACATCTTAAATAGGATAAAAATAATATTATTTTCTTAGAATGTGTGAAAATTAAAAGAAATATATATAATTGTAGGTTTATATTGACACTATATTGATGTGTCATTATAATTTCTAAAAGTAATGTAATATATGTAGATAAAATTGTTGTAAAACAATTATGAATCTCAATGTTATCTAAATGTATGCATTTTTCATAATTTTTATTATTATTTTTATGTTTTGGTCCCAATTGTCTAAACTACCGCATTCTAAATAGAAATGTTTATATTTCATGAGCTATATTTACCCTTAATTTGAAAAAATTAAATAGATACTTATAAACATAGAATTAACTAATCTAGACTTAGAGTTTAGATTTGAGGAATATTGTTTTCAAAGATGAGGTATATGACTTCAATAAATATATAAATAAATACTTACCTTTTTAGAAAATATTTAAAAAATAGTTTTACAAAAATTTGATTTGAAAATTAAAATTTGAAAAAAATCAAAAAATGAAAATTTGAAAGAAATAAAATTTGAATTTTTTTTATAAAATGTTCTTATTTGAAAATGTATAATTGAATAACTATATAATAAAAAAATTCAACATTATACCAAATACTAAACATGTAGACTACATGGCAAAGAAAAAGAACAACATGTGTTTCTCATCCTTCGGTGTGTTAGTTAAGGTAATCATTTTCTAGAGTTTAAATCTTAATCCTATTTTAAATAACAGAAAATAAGTGACAGAAGAGAAAAAAAATTCATATTCCAAATAATTAAGTGAAAATCCTATAAAAATACTTCACTGAAATTTCCTCACGATTTTGAATTCCCAAACTTATTTGATATCGATTTAATATTTCAACTAATTATTTTGCTCATTTTAATATATGTGCTCATTTTACTACCCAACCTATGCTCATTTTAATCAAAAATTTAAATAAATTTCAAAAAAACTTTAAAAACTTTGAAATAAAAATAAATCTGAAAATTTTCATATTTAATTTCAAATTTAGGAATAAAGTAACTAAGTTGTGGATAAAATATTAAAATTCAGAAATTATTTATATAAATAAATTAATTTTTAACTTCAGAAAGAAAACTAAATTTTAAATGTAAACTAACTAAGACTATAGTTCTAAATATTAACCACATTTTAGATACTTTATTCCTATAACTTAAAATAAAAATAGAAATTTTAAAGTTTATTGTGATCAATTTTCTATTTTTTTAAAAAAATTTCCTTCAAACTTATAAATAATTTGGGTATTAATATGAGTACAGTTTTAAGATTAAGTGTATTAAATGAATAAATAATTAATTTAGGTATGAAATTGGATGATAAAAAAATTTTGGTATTAAAAAGCTTAATGATATTTAGTTGATGTATTTTCATAAAAAAAAATTTCAATAATAAATTAATAAATGTATATATAGTTTATTAAATTAAATATAAACTCAATTAATTCAATGGATATAATAGTATAATTTTAAAAATAAAAAAATATTAAAATACATAATCTGCGCGTAGCGCGGAGAAAATATCTAGTTTTAATAAAAATCAGTAATTGAGTAACACTAGATTATAAAACCTACATAATTAATATAAAAATTACCATTGAATAACACCCCTATAATTAATTGTGAAATCACCCATTGCAAATTTATCAAATATACAACCAATAAATCACAGCGCTAAGAGAATGGAAGCTTAATCAACTAACTTATTGTGCGGTACACAATATGGTAGGTAATCAATAGGAAAGAAAACAAAAATGAATGAGAATCATTGTGTTTAGAGAAAGTATCCATTTCACAACCAAACTTTACAAAGGCACAGGTCCACTGAACTTTTGCAGAATAAGGATCAATCAGCATCCAAATAAGTTAACAATTTTAGATGAACCGGTTAAGTCGGTAAATCAGTAAATTAAACGCGTTTAAGGATTACGAAAAGAGAATCAATCCGTTGTTATTGGTTAGTCTCTCTGTCCCTAATAAATAAATAAATAAATAAGAGAATAAAATCTTCATAGTTCTCTTCAACTTCTTTTGTCAGAGAGAGAAGTTTCAAAAAACGTACACACAAGAAACACACTCTTCATCTTCTCCTTCCTTTCGTTTTCCAAGTTTGGCCCCCCATTTTCATAGAGGAAGAAGAACAAAATGGCGGCGGCTAATATCTTCTCACCGTTTTCTATTATTTTCGCTTTGGGTCTTCTCTTTGGATTCACTCTCGCCGGAGATCCTTTCGTCTCCTACGTGTTTGAAGTCACTTACATCACTGCTTCTCCTCTCGGCGTTCCTCAACAGGTTAGGTTTCCTTTTCGCTTTTTTATTTGGGGGGGGGTGGTTTAGGGCTTAGTCCTCCCTAATGCAATCTACAGGTTTACTAGGGTTTAGGGTGGTAGTCATGATGATCTGCTTCGTGTTAGGTAACCACTATCTTCGATGTTGTTCTTTGCATCATCAGGTTATAGCAGTCAATGGAAAGTTCCCTGGCCCTGTGATCTCTGCCACCACTAACTACAACGTCAATGTTAGCGTATTCAATCGTTTAGATGAGCCTCTCCTACTCACTTGGTGATCATTTTTTTAAGGATTCTCTTTCTTTTCTTTTTTTAGCTTTTCTCTTTTGATTGCAGAGTTGTGATGATTCCTTGAAACATTTCTGGTCAGGAATGGGATTGAGATGCGTCGTAACTCGTGGCAAGACGGTGTTCTTGGTACTAACTGTCCCATTCCTCCGCAGCGGAACTTCACTTATAGCTTTCAAGTCAAAGATCAGATCGGAAGTTTTTTCTACTTCCCTTCACTTCACTTCCAGAGAGCTTCTGGTGGGCTTGGTCCAATCATTATCAATAACAGGGATCTTATTCCTCTCCCTTTCAATAAGCCTGATGGTGAAATCAGCTTTATGATTGGTGATTGGTATACTCACAACCATACAGTAAGTGGAGTGTTTAATTATTTCACTTTTCATTGTATCTTCTTCCAATTAATGTTGGTGAAACTCTGTTGCTTCTTAGGCATTAAGGAATGTACTTGACTCTGGTGAAGAACTTGGGATGCCGGATGGTGTTCTCATCAATGGGAAGGGTCCTTACAAATACAACAGCACTGTACCCGATGGAATTCAATATGAAACCATTAATGTTGATCCAGGTTTGTTATTTCTGCGCGCTGTCTTTGCTTTGCATTGAAAGTTTAAAGCTTGCTCTTAGATTCATTATTCCCTCTTGCTTTTACGTTTCTACAGGGAAAACATACAGGATCCGTGTCCACAATGTTGGTGTGTCGACATCCTTGAACTTCAGGATTCAGAACCACAAATTGCTCTTAGTTGAAACTGAAGGTCGCTACACTTCCCAAACAAACTTCACCGATTTCGATGTTCATGTGGGACAGTCTTACTCTTTCTTGGTCACCATGGACCAAAACGCCTCAAGCGACTACTACATTGTGGCGAGTGCAAGATTTGTGAATGAAACAGAGTGGCAGAGAGTCACAGGTGTTGGCATTCTTCATTATTCCAATTCCAAAGGACATGCCTCTGGTCCTCTGCCACTTCCATCAACTGATGTTTCGCACCCTTGGTCTGTCATGAACCAACAAAGGGCCATAAAGTACGTCTTCGAAACTCGTATACATTTAACTTTAGACTTGTAAATATAACCACGTCTTTTTTTCATATTGCAGGCAAAACACATCTGCGAGTGGAGCTCGTCCAAATCCGCAGGGATCATATCACTATGGACAGATAAACATCACAGACACATACATCTTGAGGAGTATGCCTCCAACCAAAATCAATGGCTCACTTCGTGCTACGCTTAATGGTGTTTCTTTTCTGAATCCAACCACGCCCATGACGCTTGCCGATAAGCATAGACTGAAAGGAGTTTATAAGCTGGATTTCCCATCCAGACCTGTTGACAATAAACCTCCACGTCTGGACAGTTCTATCATCAACGCAACATACAAGGGCTTTATTCAAGTTATCTTCCAGAACAATGACACCAAAGTCCAGAGCTTCCATATTGATGGATATTCATTCTACGTCGTTGCGTAAGAAACATCATAATGCCATTATTACTTTCCTACAGTTGTAATTGCTCTGACGTGGATTTTCCAAAAAAAATCTGATGTTCTAGGATGGACTTTGGTAACTGGACTGAAGATAGAAAAGGTTCTTATAACAACTGGGATGCAATATCACGAAGCACGATAGAGGTTGATCCACATTTGCAATTTGTTTCTCTTATACACTTCATTTGGTTGCCAATTACTTATTTTGCTTTGATATTTGCTTCAGGTTTACCCAGGGGCATGGACTGCTGTACTTATTTCCCTGGATAACGTTGGAGTTTGGAACATCCGAGCAGAGAATCTTGACAGATGGTATCTTGGTCAAGAAACATACATGCGAATCATAAACCCTGAGGAAAACGATAAAACAGAAATGGGTCAGCCCCAAAATGCTCTTTATTGTGGTGCTCTCAAGAGCTTGCAGAAGTAAGCATTAGAAATTTCACTGCTCTGTGCTTTCCTCTCATATCATCTTTAGATCATGACACTCCTCTTTTATTTCGTGATTTATCCTGCAGCGAACAACTCCGCAGCTCTGCCACATCTATACTAAATGGACAGTTGAATCTAATTTTTACCCTCGTGATGGTTTTGCTCGCCTCGGTCACAACATTTTGCTGATTCAAGAATCATCTCTGGTTCTGATCTCCCATTGGTTAGTTTGTATAAATACAAACTGTTGGGCTCTTGTTTTCTTCTTTGATTTCATTGATTGTATGTTATATACTCAGATTTTTTTTACTTATGGGTTTGAAACAAACTTCAATTCGTGGGATTTGGTTTATGTCTAAAGCATTGTAACTAAAACTTCCTCTTTTATGGGTCTTCCCTTTTTGTTCATCCGTAGTTAAAACTTTATTTTCATAATAAGCATAATGAAATTATATTCAGTGGAAAATTCTCATATCATTGTAATTTAAAGCATGAAGAAGGTAAACAACCAGAGATGCATAGCCTTAGAGGCCGGAAGTGAAGGGTATGCCTGTGCGTGGGAGCCACGCAGGACCGGCGATAAATCTTCCAACGGTGAAAGCAGAAGCATCGGAAGCTCTTTTCAACACATGAAACCCGTTCCAGCGAACACGCCACCGCGTGGAGGAAGCTGGTCCACTATTCTTATACTCTGCATAGAACACTGTGTCTAACCCAAAAGCCGAACCTTCGATCCACGGTGACCATCCGAACGGACTAACAACACTATCCAAATACGTCTTGATTACCACGGTGCGCGAGTACTTCATCCAAGGCCGGCCCATGTACGTCTTAACAGTACGGAGAACCGGTTTGAGATCAGGAGCTGGTAGGATTCTTGAGTTGTGGATAGAGATCCCTGTGTTCTGAAATGGATCAGCACGACCTTGTGCGGTTATTACATTGGATTGACCATGTAGTGGCCGGCGAGGGAGGATGATACAGTTTTGAAAAACTACAGCTGCATTTCCAAAGATGAAATCGATTGTTCCGTAGATGTAGCACTCGCGGTAAAATTGACGTTGCGAATGGACCATCAGTGTGTCTTGGTATCCTTCGATTGAGCATTTGTAAAAGATTGAGAGGTCCGACGATGACCGAAGTGCCACGGCCTGGCCCTTGGCCGGTCCTGCCGTGTTCTTGAATGTTAGGCCTTTGGCTATGAAGTGAAGTCCTTCGATACCTGGATCACACGCAATTTAGCCTATTGTTACAAATGAAATAAATCTTTAAATGGTAACGCTTACTTATTTTGCAGGAAATAAAAGCATAGGTTACGTTTTTATATGTTTTTTTAAAGCTAGTGCTAATAATTGATGATGATCCCAATGTTTGATTTAACTTGGACGTCTCCGCCATCAATCTTATTAATCGGAAAACTCAATCTCACGGATAATTTAGAATATTTTAATTATAGAAACATGTTAGATCCAATCCATGCATTAACTAACTAAATAAAATTAAAATATTGATGAATTAATTATTTACCGGCAGTGGCGGAATTGTAAGTGGTGTAACCACCTTTGACACTTCGACCACCGGTGATAATGGTGGATCTCATTCCATCTCCGACCAACATTATGTTATCGTTATTGAGACGTACGTTTATGTTTTCTTGATATATTCCTCTCTTCACGTAAATCACAAACCTCTTTGACATCACCTTTCTGCGTCCAGCCACGTCTATAGCCGCTTGCACCGTCCTGACTTGACCCGACCCGTCTTTGGCAACCACAATGTTAGCTCGTACAGCACGCGCTGATTGCAACTGTAGAAGCCTCCTCTCTTTACCGGATACCCACGTCGGAAAGTCCTTTCCATCAGCAGTGGTGGTACTATTGTTACCGGTGGGCAAGAGGGCTCCGTTGACAGCTAAGCAGTTGCTTATTAAGTTGGGGATTTTGGTGTTTGAAACTATCGGTGTAATGAAATCTGAGACGTTAAGATCGGACGACCCGCGTCGGCAAGTCTCGGTGTTTGTAAGCGCGGTGCTCAGCCACGTCTGAGCGTCAAAGTCGGTGCACTTTTTTCCAGCACCGGCTTCTGGAGCAACGCCAGCTAGCGTCCGAGTTAGCTGCACGATGGTGTCTTCGTATAGGTTAATGCAGTCAGCCAAGACGGCTTGCTTCCGGCAGTCTGTGCAGTTCCCACTTGACCGAGTCAGCTCGTCCCGGGCGGATATTGCCCGATCCATGGTTGCTTCAACCAACATTACTCGGAACTCGGATAGCTGTTTCGGCAGTCGGAAACCATTGTGGTTTTTGAAGTAGCATTTGCATGGATCAGGATATGGAGTTTGGTTGCACCACTTGTCAATGCCAGTGGTGGAATTGCCGTCGGCTAAAATGGTGAGAGGATGAAGGCAGAGAAACAATACTAATATTAAATATAGAGAAAGAAAATAGATTGTGTGCATCATCATATGCATGTTGCTTCCTTCGCTAATTGATGTTGTTTAGGTGTGTGGAAGAGAATGTAATTCAAAGTAGAATGTTAAAGACTAGATAGAGTGGGAACGTTGACACCAATCTATATATTTATATTATGGTGGTATTAACATCAAAGCAAAACAAGAAAGCAGCATTTATATTGGTCATGAGTTAGATCAGATCCACCTTCGCGTCTACGTTGTTTAGCTCGATTGGCTGTTTTGTTATTGCGTGAACGATTCTAGCATCACTATTAGCTATTAAGATATTATTTTAAGAGGATTTCCGAAAATATTTTTGACTCTTCACTTTTTTAGAAGAAATTTTGTCTACTTAATAATCCTTGATGATAGTAGTTTTCGATCAATCGTGTATATTATAATGTTTGGATCATGAGATATTTTATGTTAAATATGTGAAATATTAAAAACATTAATTTACAGAACAATATTTTTGCTGCCTTGTCCTCATAAAACAACGATAATTTTCTTTAAAATAAAATAGTTCTTAGACTATTATACTTTTTCCCAACTTCTAATACCGACAGGTCCGGCAGTAAACGATCTGCATCGACTCTAGCTAGAAGAACGCCGTACGAGATCTTAGATTCTTTAAATACATCTAAAATAATCCAACAACAATTAAATATCGTCACTTGAAGGTGTTAAATATGATTAAGTAACATCCTATATAGAATCCGAGAAGTAAAAGTCTTTAGGAAACGCTTAGATGTTCATACCATTTTTCTTCTCTCCGGATATGAATCAATCGCTTGATCAGTTCACATGCTATTTATATCTTCAACCACCATGATTAACTATTAGACTCGAATCTAAAATAAATGCAGAACGTGTCAACATTTTTTTTCTGAGTATCATCAAGACTATAGTTTAGAGGTTTTAAATAATGAGCAACCTTTTTCTTTGTTTAGAATATTATCAAGATTGTATTTTAGAGGCTTCTATAAAATTCCCATCCGTATTATTGACAGGATGTGATGTGGTCAGAAGCGGATCTAGAACTTCTTAACATGAAGCATATGATTATGATCTTTGAAACATGAAGCATGATTATGATCTTTGAATGTCAGAGGTTTTGAGGTAACTATTTAAATAAAATCAAAGTTTGGGGTTAAGAGATTAAAGCTAATTGTTTTCAAGAATCAAAATATTGAATACGTATATAAAGAGAATCAAAATTTAGTATGTGGCGTAGCACATGTGACCCGTTGGTTGTAACACGACCTTGGATGTGGTTCACTCTAGTTGAAGGTAAACTAGATTTTGATCCGCGCTTGAAAGCACATAAATTTTTTTTGATTAAAAGTTTATATAATTAGGTTTTGTCGTTATTTAAAGTATGTTTTGGTATAAAATTATTAATCCAAAATTTGTGGTGATGATTACTTTGCATTAGTTTTTAGTTTCAGTTTTTATTTTTAGATTTGGTTTTAGATTTTGGTTTTTGGTTTTTAATTTTTAAGTTTCTAATTTTGATTTTCAGCTTTTGGTTTGGGTTTTTAGCTTTTAAATCCGCTGAGTTAGTTTGAACTCATAATTACCAATAAACAAATCCCAAAGAATCGAACATCTAATTTAAAACTGAAAAGATGAGAATTTTTATTTTAAAAAAATGCAATAGTTTATTTTGTGTAAATAAAGAAAACAAAAGCAAAAATATAACATGCGTTTTCAACTTTTGGTTTTGGATTTTAATTTTTAGATTTGGTTTTTAGTTTTGCTTACATTTTTTTTTAAATCAGTAAATTATTTAAGAAAAATAATAAAAATAAACTATTACAAAAGTTACCACTGAAATTTATCAAGATAGAGTGATTGTTATTTAAAATAAAAAAATAGTAACATGTTTTAAAGTACATGATTTAAATAAGTGACTAATAATATATAATTTTGTTTTGTTAAAATATTAAATACTTTTGGACCTTAAAATAGTAATTGATTTTTTGATCCATTAATGTAGAACATTTATTCAATGTTTTTTTGGAGTTTTTCTTTAATACTAAGCCCAAAACCCAAACTATATAATTTGTCAGAAAAACAAAAGTAAGCCCAAAACTCTATTCCATAAATAACTGCCGGTTTAATTTAAGTAATGCGGTTCAATCAACTATATGACTTGTATTATTTGTAACACTCTAGAAATGGTCCAAATTTAAATGACAACGTATATATCAGTAGATAAAAGGAATGACTCTATTTTAATAGAGTAGATATAGCAAGTAAAACCCATGAAGAAAATGACACCAACAAGGTATAGATATCAGATACCCTATATATATAATAACTAATTTTCTATTAGATTATACAAGAAAATAATAGAGTAGATACCCTCCAAACGTACCTAACATATATAAATAACATTTATTATTTATTTTTATATTTTTTTTTTAAAATTAAAAAAATAAGCTAACAACAAATTGACATGTTTGAGTTGAAGTCTCTTTCGCCACAGAAAACGTTTCTTCTGCAATGTACGTACCTTATTAATTGCCACTCTCTTTCTACTCTTTTTTATTTAATTACATTATTAAAATGGTGAGAGACCATGTAACAATTTATTGTTGTAGATGACCTTAAAACATCATTAATCTTATAATTTTTATGGGTTTTTTAATATTTTTTGTCTAAAAGAAAATAAAATCGAACCAATTACGGACTGTTACGTATTGGTGGAGTTTGCGAACAGTGCAAAAAACTCTTCACAATCAATTTTTGTTTGGTTATTCTATACTGGTTTTTTAAACTGTGGTGAGACTCACCTAATATTTTATCACTAGGTAGTTACCCGCGCTTATGCGTGGAGTGAAATAACTAATTAAATTATTAATTTTACGTTGTACTAAGAGATTTTGTTGAATATATTTTTATTAGGATAAAATATTGACATATCAGTTCAGATTTAGATGATTTTTCGGATTTCAAATTTTTAAAATAAAAAATTTAAATCTGATTCGAATATTTATAAATTTCGTTTTGAATTTGGTTTGGATTTGGTCGGATCGTACATGTTTGGTTCGAGTTCGAGTTTGGATACCCATTTTAAACAAAAATCCAAATATATACTTAAATCCTCAAAATAAAGTAATATAAAACATAAAAATTGAATATTGTAAGACCAAATACTTAAATTTACATAAAAAATATTCAAATTAAATATAGGATGAAAATTAGGTATTTTCAGTATTCTACACATTTTTTTGTTATTTTTAGATATTTACTTGTGACTATTTGATAATTGATATTTTTTTGAATATTTATATATATGAAATTAAAAATAATTAATTTATTTAAATATATAATTGCGATGTGGATATTTTAGGTATCCAAAACATTTCAATTTGGATCAGATTCAGGTTTTGTTATCCAAATATTAAAATTTTAGATTCATCGAAGTTTGGTTGAGTTTCCCGGATATATATATACCTGAACTTACTTTCTTCTACATATATCATGAAAATTAAATAATGGTAAAACAAATATATATAATAATTGGACTATACTTTAAAAATATAAATAATAATTATTGGGCATGGTTTCAATATTGTTATGCATGTTTCAAAGTTGACGTAGTCTATAACTAATAACTTGTATTTTCTTATAATATTATTTAGTAAATATAATAAAAACACGATACAATCGAGTGAAAAAAGTTATGGTAGCATCAAAAAATAGTGTGATCTCTTTACTTGGAACATGCATTGTGTTACTCAATCGATTTAGTGATTTTTTTTCTTTTTAAAGCTGTTTCATTTTCTGTTTTTTCTAGCAATTTTGATTTTGTTTTAAATTCTTGGTCTTATATGAAAACCTTGTAAATAAAAGTAATATTTGGTAAAATAAATATTCAATTTTGTGTATATTTTTTTTCAGTCTAGTTTTTTTTTAATTCATAATCAATCACAATTATTTTTTGCTTCGGTATACATAAGCTTCAACTATAGCCAAGTTCAGAGACATACAAAACTTTCAGTTTTTAAAAATATTATCATCCCAATATTCTAGTTGATATGAATTTTTATAGTTTTGTACTTTTTAATGATATTTTCATAGTTACACAGAGATAATTTCAACTTACTAATGCATAAGTTACAAACGTATGAACTAAAAATAGATTAATTTAAAAAATATTGTTTAAATTAAATTAGGAACTAAAAAATTAGTATGTGACTGCATTAATTGTTAAATCATTGTGAGGCTGACACGTGTCAACGCATTTATTACAATGCTTCTCAAATAATATATAGACTATTTTTTCTTAAAAGATTCTATCCCTAAGAAACCTCATTAATGCTAGTCTTAGTATCTACGTGGCAATGAAAAATAATATTTCAAAAAGAAAAAAGTAATTGTCGTAGATCTAATAAATATATAGTCCAAAGTGTATAAATAAATCACAGTCAAGTCCATAGAACAATTAAATTAGTACACGTGATTTTTCTTTTCCACACAAAAAGTCTATAACTTACATTCATATCTTTTAGCGAAAAAAATGACTTACATTATATTCATATATAGTTTCGGGTGTCGGCGACCTTAGTATAAATTAATGCAAATTTGTATTAGTTGTCACACAAGACACAACTGATTAAATATGTTGTTATCTATTTAAATAAATAAATATATATATATATATATATATATATATATATATATATATATATATATATAAAGTAGCAATTCACTATTT